GCTAAGAAAAGTTGCACAAGGAATAGCGATTTTCCATGGAGGCTGCTAGCTAAATATGCTAACGAAAGAAAACGAAAATAAACAAATTGCAAGACAGTCAATCCAGCTTTATCTCCTAACATATTGCACAAGTTGACTGCAGGTATTTACTTAAAAAGTAGTTAAAAATATTAACTTTCATTGAAAAACTTCAAATAAATAGTTTCAACGGTATTGATGGTACCGCCCAAGCCTACGGCGCTTCCTCATCTCTTTCAATTTGAGAATACACGAAGCTGGTCAAATTATTTCTGGAAAATGTATTCTGATAAATTCTAAATAAATTATATTTGATTACCACTCAAATTCAATGAAAACAATAGAATGACAAACTAAATAAGTATGTACAGTATAGCAGCCTAGAGGTAGATAAATGGTGATTTCTTCCCTGAACTATAAGCTATGTGTGTGCCGCGGAAGCCCGTCGGAGGTTTGACCACTTTTTTCCCAAACCAGAGTGGCCACGGTAAAGCCCAAGGAGCCTGAATCTCTCTGGAAGTTGCTGTAGCCCTGCTTGGGATATTTAGCCTACATTGGCTAATGGTTTAGATGCAGGGCCTGTTCTAGGTTGGTATGTCCAGGTGGGCAATTGGAAATGTGAATTGGGCCAAGTTGGAGTTAATAATGCATTTAGGTTATAGTTTATTGAGATGCATGAATACACCATCCCAAAAGCTTGATTTATGGCTGTTTTAAAACGAATTTCCTGCAATTACTTTCCTGTAAGTAATGATTTATGTTCACTACTTGGTCATTTGATTTGACAGCATGTTTAATCAATGCAAAAATTCTATGAACTAATAGTACACCTCTCTGTTTTCTTTTATTCTGTAATAGGGTATATTGTAACCATGTGTTCAAGCTAACCAAATCAACGTTTATTTAAGCTACACAATACAATGAAATGCCTACTCACAATAAAGCTCTTCTCGTAAACAGTGCAATATATTAAGCTATATGAATGTATGAATGACATTTTATTTTCGTGTCAAATCGCCAATAAGCAACCCATCCCTTATGGAATTAATTGACAAATAAACAAACATTACAATAATTCACTGTGGTAAATAGATGATAATTATTCTTCTGTTGTTCTCTGCATTGCGCATCGGATAAAGAGTGAAAAAATGTAAGGTAAAAATCAATACATAATAGTAAATAAGGTTATCCAAACAATAATTATATCCCTAGAGCAGTAAAATAATATACATACATACAGTTTAAGTCGGAAGTTTACATACACTTAGGTTGGATTCATGAAATCTCGTTTTTCAACCACTCCACAAATTTATTTTTAACAAACTCTTCATGCTTTGTCTCTCAGCTCATCCACAGCCATGTGAAAGCTAACTGAGTTGCTGATATTTAGTCCTAGAGGTGTGTAGTTTTTGTTTTATAATTTATATTTGTCATCCTGATTTCCGGACCTTTTTTGGAATATCATTATATTCGTTTTTTTTTAATTAACAGTCAGAGCCCAGGTCTGACAGAACCTGTGCAGATTATCTACAGTTGAAGTCAGAAGTTTACATACACTTAGGTTGGAGTCATTAAAACTCGTTTTTCAACCACACTTTTGGCAAGTCGGTTAGGACATCTACTTTGTGCATGACACAAGTAATTTTTCCAACAATTGTTTACAGACAGATTATTTCACTTATAATTCACTGTATCACAATTCCAGTGGGTCAGAAGTTTACATACACTAAGTTGACTGTGCCTTTAAACAGCTTGGAAAATTCCAGAAAATGATGTCATGGCTTTAGAAGCTTCTGATAGGCTAATTGACATCATTTGAGTCAATTGGAGGTGTACATGTGGATGTATTTCAAGGCCTACCTTCAAACTCAGTGCCTCTTTGCTTGACATCATGGGAAAATCAAAAGAAATCAGCCAAGACCTCAGAAAAATAGACCTCCACAAGTCTGGTTCATCCTTGGGAGCAATTTCCAAACACCTGAAGGTACCATGTTCATCTGGACAAACAATAGTAAGCAAGTATAAACACCATGGGACCACGCTGGAGGAAACAGGTACAAAAGTATCTATATCCACAGTAAAACGAGTCCTATATCGACATTACCTGAAAATCCGCTCAGCAAGGAAGAAGACACTGCTCCAAAACCGCCATAAAAAAGCCAGACTACGGTTTGCAACTGACAAAGATCTTACTTTTTGGAGTGTGTCCTCTGGTCTGATGAAACAAAAATAGAACTGTTTGGCCATAATGACCATCGTTATGTTTGGAGGAAAAAAGGGGGACTTGTAAGCCGAAGAACACCATCCCAACCGTGAGGCACAACGGGGGTGGCAGCATCATGCTGTGGGGGTGCTTTGCTGCAGGAGGGACTGGTGCACTTCACAAAATAGATGGCATAATGAGGAAGGAAAATGATGTGGATATATTGAAGCAACATCTCAAGACATCAGTCAGGAAGTTAAATCTTGGTCGCAAATGGGTCTTCCAAATGGACAATGACCCCAAGCATTCTTCCAAAGTTGTGGCCAAATGGCTTAAGGACAACAAAGTCAAGGTATTGGAGTGGCCATCACAAAGCCCTGACCTCAAACCTATAGAAAATATGTGGGCAGAACTGAAAAAGCGTGTGCGAGCAAGGAGGCCTACAAACCTGACTCAGTTACACCAGCTCTGTCAGGAGGAATGGGTCAAAATTCACCCAACTTATTGTGGGAAGCTTGTGGAAGGCTACCCGAAACGTTTGACCCAAGTTAAACAATTTAAAGGCAATGCTACCAAATACTAATTGAGTGTATGTAAACTTCTGACCCACTGGGAATGTGATGAAAGAAATAAAAGCTTAAATAAATAATTCTCTCTACTATTATTCTGACATTTCAGATTCTTAAAATAAAGTGGTGATCCTAATTGACCTAAGACAGGGAATTTTTACTAGGATTAAATGTCAGGAATTGTGAAAAACTGAGTTTAAATGTATTTGGCTAAGGTGTATGTAAACTTCCGACTTCAACTGTAGGTAGCCAATGCCTAACTTGGTGTTTGAGGGTATTCAAAATGTAAAATGTTCTTTAGACAATATGTGTGGGCATAGGCAGACGTTGCAATTGAAATATGCATTTTATGCGTATTCTATAATGATAGGCTATTCAATTGTCTACATCTATCAGTACATTTATGACGTCATTTACATATATTTTTTGCGCTCCCTCACCTAAAAAATAGCACTACACCACTGGTGTGTGCATGCTTGCATCTGTGCGTGCGTCCGTCTGTCCGTGCGTGTGTGCTCGTCTGTGTGTACGTACGTTTTTTGCTAGATACCAACCAGACTGTTATGTTGGTTCACTGGGTTGTTCTTTTTTTGTTCCATTCCTTCTATAAAATCTAATAATAGCATCACTCTTTCTGCACCTGTGTGTGTGTGTGTGTGTGTGTGTGTGTGTGTGTGTGAATGTGTATGTGTGTGTGCGTGCGTGTGCACGTGCATGCGGAACAAGGGGAATGAGTCACTCCTGAGAGCATAAACAGAAACCAAACAGCCCAATAAGTCCAAACTGCCGTGGGACGATGAAGGAGGAGAAGGAAACAACACCAGATAGATAGATAGTAAGGTAGGTAGGTAGGTACAGTAAGATAGATACAGTAGGTAGCTAAGTACAGTAAATAGATACAGTAGGTAGGTAAGTACAGTAAGATAGATACAGTAAGGTAGGTAGGTACAGTGCCTTGCAAAAGTATTCATTCCCCTTGGCGTTTTCCCTATTTTGTTGCATTACAACCTGTAATTTAAATGGATTTTTAAAAAAGTATGAAAAATTATGAAAAGTATGAATAGTTATTCACGCTCAAGTTTTCTGTTTTTTTGTATTATTTGTTGTTAGTTTCACAATAAAAAATATTTTGCATCTTCAAAGTGGTAGGCTTGTTGTGTAAATCAAATGATACAAACCCCCCAAAAATCCATTTTAATTCCAGGTGTAAGGCAACAAAATAGGAAAAATGCCAAGGGGGGTGAATACTTTCGCAAGCCACTGTAGGTAGGTAATATAATAATAATAATATGCCATTTAGCAGACGCTTTTATCCAAAGCGACTTACAGTCATGCGTGCATACATTTTTTTTGTGTATGGGTGGTCCCGGGGATCGAACCCACTACCTTGGCGTTACAAGCGCCGTGCTCTACCAGCTGAGCTACAGAGGACCACTGGTTGGTTGGTTGGTTGGTTGGTTGGTTGGTTGGTTGGTTGGTTGGTTGGTTGGTTGGTTGGTTGGTTGGTTGGTTGGTTGGTTGGTTGGTTGGTTGGTTGGTTGGTTGGTTGGTTGGTTGGTTGGTTGGTTGGTTGGTTGGTTGGTTGGTTGGTTGGTTGGTTGGTTGGTTGGTTGGTTGGTTGGTTGGTTGGTTGGTTGGTTGGTTGGTTGGTTGGTTGGTTGGTTGGTTGGTTGGTTGGTTGGTTGGTTGGTTGGTTGGTTGGTTGGTTGGTTGGTTGGTTGGTTGGTTGGTTGGTTGGTTGGTTGGTTGGTTGGTTGGTTGGTTGGTTGGTTGGTTGGTTGGTTGGTTGGGTAGATACAGTAAGATATATATACAATAGATAAATAGGTAGGTAGATACAGTAAGATATATATTTCTGTGAGGTTGTTTTACAGCAGGTAATGTCTCTTGCTGCATCTGTCTCTGGTTGCACGGCATTGTTTGTGTGGCTGTGTGTGTGTGTGTTTCAAAGTGGTCTATTGAATAATTCACAATGGTGACATTGCTGTAGTGCCTCTAAAGTGTTTTGCCATGTGAAGTTATCCTAAATAGCAGCGAGAGAGAGCGGCTCGTGAAAATAAAAAACGACATGTTTTACCAACTCAATAATAGATAGATGAAGTGCAGTTTTTGTGGGTGTCAGACAGGGTTGGGTTGGGTGATGTGGATGGATTGTTATGATGGCTGGTGATGGTGAGTGAGAAAAAACAGTAATTATTTTGTTTATACAGCCTCTTCTCTGCTCTGGCCCAGGGCCCACAGGACCTTGCTGCCATGACACAAACTGCTGTGGGAGAGAGCCTAGGGTGCTGGCCTGGGACGTACCGTGCAGTGCTTCTGGGGTTGGATGAGGGGACGGACAGCATGTGATGTGCCTGGTTATAATAACTCGCCCTCCATAGGGAAACCCTCCATGGGTGGAGAGACAACCTGTGGTGCTGCTGGGAAGGATGGGGTGGGATGAGAGAGGTGGGGTGGGACGGATGGGATGGGATGAGAGAGATGGTGTGGGAGGGATGGGGTGGGAGGGATGGTGCGGGGTGGGATGAGAGAGGTGGGCTGGGAGGGGTGGGGTGAGATGAGAGAGATGGTGTGGGATGGATGGGCGGATGGTGCGGGATGGGAGGGATGGTGTGGGAGGGGTGGAAGGGGTGGGAGGGATGGTGCAGGGTGGGGTGAGGGGAGGGATGGTGAGGGATGGTGTTGGGTGGGAGGGTTGTGTGGGATGGGAGGGATGGTGTGGGAGGGATGGGAGGGATGGTGTTGGGATTGGAGGGATGGTGCGGGTGGGATGGGATGGATGTGTGGGATGGTGTGGGAGGGATGGTGCAGGTGGAAGGGATGGTAGGTATGGGAGGGATGGTTCGGGGTGGGAGGGATGGTGTGGGAGGGGAGGGATGGTGCAGGGTGGAAGTGATGGGAGGGATGGTGTGGGGTGGGAGGGATGGTGTTGGATGGTAGGGATGGTGTGTGAGGGATGGTGCGGGGTGGGAGGGATGGTGTTGGATGGGAGGGATGGGAGGGATGGTGTGGGATGGGAGGGATGGTGTGGGATAGGAGGGATGGGTGGGAGGGATGGTGCGGGATGTGTGGGATGGGAGGGATGGTGCGGGGTGGGAGGGATGGTATGGGAGAGATGGTGTTGGAAGGGAGGGAATGGTGCGGGGTGGGAGGGATGGTGCGGGGTGGGAGGGATGGTGTGGGATGGTGCAGGGTGGAAGGGATGGTGTGGGATGGGAGGGATGGTGTGGGATATATGGGATGGGGTGGGAGGGATGGTATGGGATGGGAGGAATGGGAGGGATGCTGTGAGATGGGGTGGGAGGGATGGTGTGGGAGAGGTGGTGAGGGATGGTGTGGGATGGGATGGTGTGGGTTGGATGGGGTGGGAAGGGATGGTATGGATGGGATGGTGTGGGATGGGAAGGATAGGACAGATGGTGTGGGAGGGATGGTGCAGGGTGGGAGGGATGGTGTGGGATAGGAGAGGTGGGAGGGATGGTGTGGGATAGGAGAGGTGGGAGGGATGGTGTGGGATAGGAGAGGTAGGAGGGATGGTGTGGGATAGGAGAGGTGGGAGGGATGGTGTGGGATGGGGTGGGGTGGGATGGGAGACACAGGATGTGCCTGGTTAGAGACTGGCCGTGGGGACACATTCCCTGGGTAGAGAGGTGCTGTCTGCTGGGCTACTGGGATAGCTGTGCCTGGTTATAGCTGCTATGGGGATCCCCTCCTAGGGTGGAGAGAGCCTACAGTGCTGGGAGGGATCATGGGAAGGATAGGATGGGAGACCGGCAGGATGTGCTTGGTTAGACCATGGGGATCCCCTCCCAAGGTGGAGAGAGCCTGTGGTGCTGGGAGGGAAGGGAATTGTGGACACTGGACAGAATGTGCCTGCTAATAGTGACTGGCTATGGGGAATGGGTTAGGGTTGGACAGGTTGTGCCTGGTTAGGCCATGGAAAATGGGTTAGGGTTGGACAGGTTGTGCCTGGTTAGGCCAGGGGGATCCAGGGGGATACCCTAACTTGGTGTGTGTTCTCGGTGAGGGGGAAGGCTCTGTCTGTACCCACATTCGCCCCACCATGAGTCATGCAGCTCACGTGCAAACACTGTCTGTGCAAAGTGAGCCACACACACAACACACATAACACACACACACACACACACACACACACACACACACACACACACACACACACACAACACGCACACAGGCTGGACACTCGCCTTATTTCCCGGGAACTCCACCAATTTATTTGAGCCAGACTCTTTCCTCTTATTTAAATGTCACTATCGTTTTAGTAACTTACCTCAGAGACAGCAAGCCTTATTGACTTGGGGTCTTGGGACCAAGACTAGCTGCCTCTATTTTTCATCGGTGGCATACGTTCAGCAATCACCCTTTAACACAGTTTACTGCATATGATTTGTTAATGTACAGCATTTGAATTGGTCTTTGCAGTTAATAAGTGTAACTATAAGTGTGTGTGTGTGTGTGTCATGTTTTTGAATAATGGTGTTTCCTGTGCTCCAGGGGGGCGTTCTCGGAGGTGGTGCTAGCGGAGGAAAAGGGGACCCAGAGGCTGGTAGCCATCAAGTGTATCCCAAAGAAGGCTCTGGAGGGCAAGGAGAACAACATTGAGAATGAGATCGCTGTGCTGCACAGGTCAGTAACATAGAGAATTAGATCACTGTGCTGTACAGGTCAGTAACATAGAGAATTAGATCACTGTGCTGTACAGGTCAGTAACATAGAGAATTAGATAATTGTGCTGTACAGGTCAGTAACATAGAGAATGAGATCGCTGTGCTGCACAGGTCAGTAACATAGAGAATTAGATCACTGTGCTGTACAGGTCAGTAACATAGAGAATTAGATCACTGTGCTGTACAGGTCAGTAACATAGAGAATTAGATCACTGTGCTGTACAGGTCAGTAACATAGAGAATTAGATCACTGTGCTGTACAGGTCAGTAACATAGAGAATGAGCTTGCTGTGCTGCACATGTCAGTAACATAGTCAGTAACATAGAGAATGAAATTGCTGTGATCCACAGGTCAGTAACATAGAGAATGAGATCGCTGTGCTGCACAGGTCAGTAACATAGAGAATGAGATCGCTGTGCTGCACAGGTCAGTAACATAGAGAATGAGATCGCTGTGCTGCACAGGTCAGTAACATAGAGAATGAGATCGCTGTGCTGCACAGGTCAGTAACATAGAGAATGAGATCGCTGTGCTGCACAGGTCAGTAACATAGAGAATGAGATCACTGTGCTGCACAGGTCAGTAACATAGAGAATGAGATCGCTGTGCTGCACAGGTCAGTAACATAGAGAATGAGATCGCTGTGCTGCACAGGTCAGTAACATAGAGAATGAGATCGCTGTGCTGCACAGATCAACACAACACACTGCAGCTTACCGCACCACACCACCACATAAAACAATATCCTTAATAATAGCAGGTTGTTTGCCCATCATAAGTCATTGAAATGACTTAATAGTCATTATGGTCAGGGTCATGAAAGAGGCTGAGGGATCATAACACACAGGTTCTATCAATGTAAAGGATTGACTGCATGGTATTGATTGGCTCATCATAGTAATGTACAGCAGAGCCAGCTTGATGTAAAGCAGTAGTATTTTATTTTTATATATTTTATTTTTTTATTTCACCTTTATTTAACCATGTAAGCCAGTTGAGAACAAGTTCTCATTTACAACTGCGATCTGGCCAAGATAAAGCAAAGCAGTGCGATTAAAAACAACAACAACACAGAGTTACATATGGAATAAACAAAAACAAAACGTACAGTCAATAACACAATAGAAAATCTATACAGTGTGTGCAAATGTAGTACGTTATGGAGGTAAGGCAGTAAATAGGCCATAGTGCAAAATAATTACAATTTAGTATTAACACTGGAGTAATAGATGTGCAGAAGATGATGTGCAAATAGAGATACTGGGGTGCAAATTAGCAAAATAAATAACAATGTAAATAACAATATGGGGATGAGGTAGTTGGGTGGGCTAATTACAGATGGGCTGTGTACAGGTGCAGTGATCGGTAAGCTGCTCTGATAACTGATGCTTAAAATTAGTGAGGGAGATAAGTGTCTCCAGCTTCAGAGATTTTTGCAGTTCGTTCCAGTCATTTGCAGCAGAGAACTGGAAGGAATGGCGGCCAAAGGAGGTGTTTGCTTTGGGGATGACCAGTTACATATATCTGCTGGAACGCATACTACGGGTGGGTGTTGCTATGGTGACCAATGAGCTAAGATAAGGCGTGGATTTGCCTAGCAGTGATTTATAGATGACCTGGAGCCAGTGGGTTTGGCGACGAATATGTAGTATGTGGTTATAGTATATGTGGTTATAGTATATGGAGGTCAGTGGAGAAGGGGGACTGGCTGGATTCATGTCATGTTATGGTATGGTATAGTATGGTATGGTATGGTATCTATGTGTCAGTAGAAACAGTGGGGTTGTTCACCAGAAATATCAGGAGTAAAGAAGATTGCCCTATTTTTAGTGTCCTTGTTGCCAGGGTAACATCACACACAGGGGCGGAGGGAGATTGTGTGTGTGTGTGTGTGTGTGTGTGTGGAGTTCCCTTCAGCAGTGTGATGAAGGAAGAGAAAGAGAAGGAGAAAGAGCAAGAGAGAGAGAGAGAGACCATGTTAGAGACATATATTTCCCTCAGATTACAGAGATCCATAAAGAATTCGAACACAAACCCAATTTTGATAAACTCCCTTATCTACTGGGTGAAATACCACAGTTTGCAATCACAGCAGCAAGATTTGTGACCTGTTGCCACAAGAAAAGGGCAACCAGTGAAGAACAAACACCATTGTAAATACAACCCATATTTATGTTTATTTATTTTCCCATTTGTATTTTAACTATTTGCACATTGTTACAACACTGTATATATACATAATATGACATTTGAAATGTCTTTATTCTTTTGGAACTTCTGAGTGTAATGTTTAATGTTAATATTTATTGTTTATTTCACTTTTGTTTACTATCTACTTCACTTGGTTTGGCAATGTTAACATACGTTTCCCATGCCAGTAAAGCCCTTAAATTGAAATGGAATTGAATTGAATTGAATTGAGAGAGAGAGAAGGGGAGAGAGAGAGTGGTGGGTATTGATGGAGAAGTAAACAGAGTGTGATACAAATAAATACTCATAGTCAGACACTGACTCAGATCCCAACACACTCCTTTCTTTACAGCCACAACACACAGTGTCACATATCACCTACATGACTGCTTATAACAACAGAGCTTCAGCCTTGGTTGTCTCTTTCTTGGTTTGTGTATTACCAATGCTGTTCTTGCCAGTGTATTTCCCCCAGTCACTGTAGAACTCCCCCTAACTGTAGAACTCCCCCTAACTGTAGAACTCCCCCTAACTGTAGAACTCCCCCTAACTGTAGAACTCCCCCTAACTGTAGAACTCCCACTAACTGTAGAGCTCCCCCTAACTGTAGAGCTCCCCCTAACTGTAGAACTCCCCCTAACTGTAGAACTCCCCCTAACTGTAGAACTCCCCCTAACTGTAGAGCTCCCCCTAACTGTAGAACTCCCCCTAACTGTAGAACTCCCCCTAACTGTAGAACTCCCCCTAACTGTAGAACTCCCCCTAACTGTAGAACTCCCACTAACTGTAGAACTCCCCCTAACTGTAGAACTCCCCCTAACTGTAGAACTCCCCCTAACTGTAGAGCTCCCCCTAACTGTAGAACTCCCCCTAACTGTAGAACTCCCCCTAACTGTAGAACTTCCCCTAACTGGCTAGCTTGGACACTGGCGAATTCAACGTCAGGGGCTGGATCCATTTTCTGGCAAGAGATTATGAAGCACTCCTCTATGTCAGAGACCACTGTTTGATGTGGGGAGAAAACAACTGGCCCTACGATATGACTAGTTCTGTATTGATTGGATCCTGTAGAGAGCTTTTTCATTGAGCATTAGACCAATGTTTTTGTTTGTGGTGCTTCTACACACTCTTACACATAGCAATGGTGCCACTTGGCGATCATATGACAGTATTGAGAGTGAGACACCGTGGGGCATAGCACTGCTGAAAAACATTGGGAATAGCGCTGCTGCATTAGCAGTAGGTTGTTGTTCATGTTGTCAGGGCTGGCAGTGTGCCCATAACAATATCCCTGTATTTCTGTCTTACTCACTGTCTTTTTGTCTTTCTTTTCAGAATCAAGCACACCAACATTGTTTCTCTGGAGGACATCTTTGAGAGCACATCCCACCTGTATCTGGTCATGCAGCTGTGAGTCTCCTCTTTCTCCTCTCCTCTCCTCTCCTCTCTCTCTCTCTCTCTCTCTCTCGCTCTCGCTCAATTCAATAGACTTTATTGACATGGCAAGTTAAATTACTTACATTGTCAAATTATACATATAACGAAAATGGTGGAACCAACAGCAATAATAATAGTAGTAGTGGAAATGGGATTACCATTAATAGCAACTACAACAACAATATTAATGAGAATAATAATACATTAAAGCAATAGTAGTCGACCAGTCTCAACATGACTGAGAAGACACATGGCATGGTATGAAAGCCAAAACAAAACTAAATGGGAAAATAATATTGACATTACATTGCACTTTTCACTGGCTGTCCCTCAGTTTGTGGCAGGAGGACACATATTTGTCTGTTCACCCAATAAATATTCGATTTTTTCTTCATCTTTTATAGTTTCAAATTCTTTGTACTGATAATTTTGGGAAATAAATATTCTCTTAGGTCTGAGTATTTGTCACAGTGTAATAGGAAATGCAGCTCTGTCTCTACCTCTCCCCTGGAGCAGAGTGAGCACAGCCTGTCCTCTCTGGGCAGCCAGGTTTGCCTGTGACGACCGGTCTCTATAGCCAGACTGTGCTCTCTTAGTCTGTACCTAGTCATTGTTTTCCTCAGTTTTCTATCAGTCACAGTGGTCAGATAGTCTGCCACCATGTACTGTCTGTTTAGAGCCAAATAGCATTGAAGTTTACTTTGATTCTTTGTGGTGTCTTTCCAATAGGTGATATATTTTTCTTTTTGCTTTGTGATGATTTAGTTGGGCCAGATTTTCTGGGTGCTGTCCTGAGGCTCTATGAGGTTGGGTTGGATTAGTGAGTCTCAGAACCAGCTGGCCGAGGGGACTCTTCTCTTGTGTGATGGAATGTTTTGGGGTCACTTGTTTTTAGATGGTTGTAGAATTTGATGGCTCTTTTTTCTATTCGAATAAGGAGGGGGTATTGGCCCAATTCTGCTCTACATGTGTTATTTTGAGTTTTTCTTTGCACTTGCAATACAGTCTTGCAAAACTCTGCATGCAGAATTTCGATTGGACTAAGTTGCTTTGCTGCAGGAGGGACTGGTGCACTTCACAAAATAGATGGCATCATGAGGATGGAAAATTATGTGGATATATTGAAGCAACATCTCAAGACATCAGTCAGGAAGTTAAATGTTGGTCGCAAATGGGTCTTCCAAATGGACAATGACCCCAAGCATACTTCCAAAGTTGTGGCAAAATGGCTTAAGGACAACAAAGTCAAGTTATTGGAGTGGCCATCACAAAGCCCTGACCTCAATCCTATAGAAAATGTGTGGGCAGAACTGAAAAAGCGTGTGCGAGCAAGGAGGCCTACAAACCTGACTCAGTTACACCAGCTCTGTCAGGAGGAATGGGCCAGAATTCACCCAATTTATTGTGGGAAGCTTGTGGAAGGCTACCCGAAACGTTTGACCCAAGTTAAACAATTTAAAGGCAATGCTACCAAATACTAATTGAGTGTATGTAAACTTCTGACCCACTGGGAATGTGATGAAATAAATAAAAGCTGAAATAAATCATTCTCTCTACTATTATTCTGACATTTCACATTCTTAAAATAAAGTGGTGATCCTAACTGACCTAAGACAGGGAATTTGTTCTAGGATTAAATGTCAGGAATTGTGAAAAACTGAGTTTAAATGTATTTGGCTAAGGTGTATGTAAACTTCCGACTTCAACTGTACGCCTTCAATATGGGGAAACACTGAAGCAATACAAACACACACTAAGAACAAAAAAGGAACAGCACATTAGAAATCAGCTGGATGTAATTGAGGAATCCATAGAATCAAACCACTTCTGGGAGAATTTGAATAAATTAAACAAACCTCATCATGAGCAATTGGCTATCCAAAATGGGGATATGTGGAGAAATCACTTTGCAAACCTCTACAGCAATATAACAAAGAGCCCAGAACAACAAGATATACAAGAAAAATTACAAATCCTTGAATCAGCAGTCAAAGACTATCAGAATCCTGTGGATACCCCAATTACAGAACAATATTTATTGGAAAAACTATGCACTCTCCAGCCCAAAAAGGCCTGTGGTGCTGATGGTATTTTAAATGAAATGATCAAATATACAGACCACAAATTCAATATGGCTATACTCAAACTCTTCAACATTATCCTCACTGCAGGTATTTTCCCCAATACCTGGAACCAAGGATTGATCACACCAATCTATAAAAATTTAGACAAATTTGACCCAAATAATTACAGAGGAATTTGCGTTAACAGCAACTTTGGGAAAATTCTCTGCAGTAACATAAATAGCAGATTACATAATTTCCTTGATGAACACAACGTCCTAAGCAGAAGCCAGATTTGATTTTTTTTAAATGATCGTACAATAGACCACATTTACACCCTCCACACTCTAATTGACAAACAAGTCAACCAAAACAAAGACAAAATCTATTTGCGTTTTGTAAACTTCAAGAAAGCGTTTGATTCAATTTGGCACAAAGGTATTTTTTATAAACTAATAGAAAGTGGTATGGGAGGGAAAACATATGATGTTATTAAATCAATATACACAAAAAACAAATGTGAGGTTAAAATTGGCAACAAGCAAACAGACTTCTTCTCTCAGGGACGTAGAGTGAAGCTTCCCACAATTAATTGGGTGAATTCTGGCCCATTCCTCCTGACAGAGCTGGTGTAACTGAGTCAGGTTTGTAGGCCTCCTTGCTCACACATGCTTTTTCAGTTTTGCCCACACATTTTCTATAGGATTGAGGTCAGGGCTTTGTGATGGCCACTCCAATACCTTGACTTTGTTGTCCTTAAGCCATTTTGCCACAACTTTGGAAGTATGCTTGGGGTCATTGTCCATTTGGAAGACCCATTTGCGATCAAGATTTAACTTCCTGACTGATGTCTTGAGATGTTGCTTCAATATATCCACATCATTTTCCTTCCTCATGATGCCATCTATTTTGTGAAGTGCACCAGCATGATGCTGCCACCCCTGTGCTTCACGGTTGGGATGGTGTCCTTCGGCTTGCAAGCAGCCCCCTTTTTCCTCCAAACATAATGATGGTCATTATGGACAAGCAGTTCTATTTTTGTTTCATCAGACCAGAGGACATTTCTCCAAAAAGTACGATCTTTGTCCCCATGTGCAGTTGCAAACCGTAGTCTGGCTTTTTTATGGCGGTTTTGGAGCAGTGGCTTCTTCCTTGCTGAGCAGCCTTTCAGGTTATATCGATATAGGACTCGTTTTACTGTGGATATAGATACTTTTGTACCTGTTTCCTCCAGCATATTCAAAAGGTCCTTTTCTGTTGTTCTGGGATTGATTTGCACTTTTCGCACCAAAGTACGTTCATCTCTAGGAGACAGAATGCGTCTCCTTCCTGAGCGGTATGATGGCTGCGTGGTCCCATGGGGTTTATACTTGCTTACTATTGTTTGTACAGATGATCATGGTACCTTCAGGTGTTTGGAAATTGCTCCCAAGGATGAACCAGACTTGTGGAGGTCTATTTTTCTGAGGTCTTGGCTGATTTCATTTGATTTTCCCATGATGTCAAGCAAAGAGGCACTGAGTTTGAATGTAGGCCTTGAAATACATCCACATGTACACCTCCAGTGAATTATAAGTGAAATAATCTGTCTGTAAACAATTGTTGGAAAAATTACTTGTGTCATGCACAAAGTAGATGTCCTAACCGACTTGCCAAAACTATAGTTTGTTAACAAGAAATTTGTGGAGTGGTTGAAAAACGAGTTTTAATGACTCCAACCTAAGTGTATGTAAACTTCCGACTTCAACTGTATATGTTTGTTGTCTGGGTCTCCGTGTTTTTTATTAGATATATTTCTCAATGACTTTCTTAGATTTTTGCAATCATTATCAAACCATTTTTCATTATCTATTATTTTTGGTTTGCTCTTATGTTTCTTTAGATTAGCCAATGAGGCTAATTTGTCAAATATAAAGTTTATGTTCCAAACGGCCAAATGTACACCTTCATTGCTGTAGGAGAATGTTAAGGCTAAAAAGTTGTCCAGGAGAGATTGTATTTTTTGGCTACTAATGGATTTTTGGTAGATTTCTATACTGTTTGCACTCCATCTATAGGCCTGTTTAGTACCATGTAATTTATTGGACCGTGAAACTTCATGGTTGGGTTCTGCTCTTCTCAGATTCACTGTGATTTTACTGTGGTCTGAGAGAGGTGTTAGTGGGCTGACTGTGAAGGCTCTGAGAGACTCTGAGTTGAGGTCGGTGATGAAGTAGTCTACAGTACTGCTGCCAAGGGATGAGCTGTAGGTGTACCTACCAAAAGAGTCCCCTCTTAGCCTACCATTGACTATGTACAGACCCAGTGTTCGACAGAGCTTCAGGAGCTGTACTCCATTTTTGTTTTTCACTTTGTCATAGTTGTTTCTGGGGGGGTATGTGGGGAGGGAAAGGTTGTTGCTTCCCGGTAGGTGTTTGTCCCCATGACTGTTAATAGTGTTTAGTTCTTCTGCTGTTCTAGCATTTTTTTATGTAACTAATTTTTTTAACTTTATTTTACCTGGAAAGGCTCATTGAGATTTGAAATCTCTTTTTCAAGAGCGTCATGGCCAAGATAGGCAGCACCAAGTCATTACACAATTACAGACAGACAACATGAAAAACGACAAGTAATCTAGTAAACATCCATAGAAATCACAGGAGCATAACATAATCATAAAACAGCAATTAAAAAACATTGACCTGTCAAGGAATCAGCCTCAAAATCCTTCATCAATGATTGAAAAACACCAATCGGGACAAGTTCTTCCAGTTTAAAAGTATGTTGTAAGGCGTTCCAAGACGATGGCGCAGAGTACATAAAAACCCTTTTACCAAATTCAGTTCGGACATTTGGAACAGTTAGCAGGATAAAGTCCTGAGAATGAAGGGAGTACCCACCACATTTCTGAAGAATAAAAATGCCCAGATAAAATGATAGTAAACACAAAATGGCTTTGTAAATAAAAGTATACCAGTGACTGAGCCTACGAGTGACTAGAGAAGGCCATATATAGTACATAAAGTGCAATGGTGCGTAAGGGTTTTGCAGTTTAAAATAAATCTCAATGCTCCATGATAAAGGGTGTCAATTGATCTCAAACACTGAGCGGAAGCATTCATATATAAAATATCTCCATAGTCTAGAATAGGCATACATGTAGCTGATCATAGGCTCCTTCTGGATTCAAAAGAAAAACAAGCCTTATTCCTAAAATAAAATCCCAACTTCAGCTTCAATTCTTTTGTAAGTTGTTGAATATGCAATTTAAAAGAGAGACTGTCATCAATTAAAATTCCAAGATATTTATATGAGGTTACAACCTCAATCTCATTGCACTGACAGGTAGTAATAGTTGAAAGGTTCAGTGGTCTGTTTCTTGCTTTTGAAAACACCATTAGTTTAGTTTTGTCAGCATTGAGGATAAGCTTCAATTGACACAAGGTATGTTGAACAGTATAAAAAGCAGTTTGCACATTTTAGAAAGCTTTTGTGAGAGACGAGGCACAACAATAAATAACAGTATCATCAGCATAAAAGTGAAGTTGCATTTTGCACATTTTTGTCTAATTTATTTATATAAATAGTGAATAAGAGGGGACCAAGTACAGAGCCCTGGGGCACACCATTACAGACAGACAATTTAACAGACATGAGCCCATCAAATTGAGTGCACTGAGTTCTATCAGACAGATTGTTACCAAACCATGCAACTGCATGCTCCGAAAGACCTACACGCGACAATCTGTCTCAGTATAGCATGATCAACTGTATCAAAAGCCTTAAAGAGATCAATAAAAAGTGAGACACAGTGCTGTTTTTTGTCAAAGGCTTCAGTGATATCATTTAAAACCTTCATGGCTGCTGTAATTGTGCTATGCTTCTTCCTGAAGCCCGATTGGTACATTGATAAAATAGAGTTAGTATATAAAAACTATTTTAGCTGTTCACTATCAAGGGTTTCAAGTATTTTTGCCAGGGTAGACAGCATTGAGATTGGCCTATAATTATTGAAAATTGTTGGATCTCCCACTTTTAAGTGGTAGGACAAATGCTGATTTCCAGATCCTTGGAATTTCATTACATTCCAGGGTTAGATTGAACAGATATGTAAATGGTTCAGCTATGAAATCAGCTGCCAGTTTTAAAAAGCAGGGATCAAGAAGATCAGGACCTGCAGGCTTTCTCTGATCTAAGGATTTCAGGGCTTTATGTATCTCAGGGCTTTATGTACCTCCTGCACTGAGAACGTACTGGTCTCCACAGACCAGTACATTGCCTTGGGCCTGAAAGTGACTAATCTCCCCCTCTAGAATGGAGAAACTCTCTTAATTGAAGTAGGGTGACTCTGAGGGGGGAATGTATGTGGCACAGAGGAATACGTTTTTATCTGTTAAGATAGCCTCCTTGTTGTTGATTTTTAACCAGATAAAGAATTATCCTGTTTTGATGAATTTGATTTGAATTAGTTGGTTCAGATTTATACCATAATAGCATTCCCTCTGAGTCTCTGCTCTGTGTGATTCATTTTAATTTGGTGGATGGTCCGATTATCTCTCTATAACCTAGTCGACAGCCAGTGGAAACATCACCTCTGCACCATGTTTCCTGTAGTACTACAATATCAACATCATCAATTTCTTTCAGGAAGTCTGGGTTTCTGCTCTTTAGCCCAAAAGCAGAGGACTTCAATCCTTGTAAATTCCAACATGCAACGTAAAAAGATTTCATAACTGTTTTTTTTCTTTACCTTCAAAAAGAGATAAACACTCACAATCCAACAAGTACGATTAAAATAGGATATTTCAAATAACATAAACTCTTAATATGCAAATGTGATTTGTTAGGAATACTGTAGGTCATAAATCGGGGACAGATTGGGGGACTGGTGTGGAGTATGAGTTTAAATACATGTTTTTCTTGTTTGGAAACAGCAAACCAGTGAGCGGACGTTCCCTTTTCCTGTATGTATTGGACCTTGTTTAGTATTATGGATGTGTGTAAAGCCTCTCCCTTTAATGTTTGTCCTGTGTGTCTCTATCAGGGTGTCTGGAGGGGAGCTGTTTGACCGCATCGTAGAGAAGGGTTTCTACACAGAGAGAGACGCCAGCCAACTCATCCACCAGATCCTGGATGCTGTCAAATACCTCCATGACATGGGCATCGTACACAGGGACCTGAAGGTACTTCAACTCTTCACATACAAACACGCACACACTCACACTCAAACACATACACATGCACGCAAGCACACATACACACATATACACACATCTCCATGACATGGGCATCCTACACACGTACCTGAAGTTAGGGCTCAGAAGAGGGGAGAGGGCTGATCTGTTTTCCTTCTTCTTGGAGAGTCAGAATGTAAGAACTTGTACACTACTCTTGTGCAATGGTAATGGATCCTGTATAAATAGATACAGAAATGCATTAGATGCTGTCCGTTAGATTAGTACTCAAACAAAACAACCACTCCCATTACGCGTTGTCTTGAACTGCCACACATCCATGTCTCGTGTTCACCAATGTGAGAAAGCTGGAAATCGTGGTTCATTTACATCCCAGGCTGTAAGAAGAGGTGCCAATGTGCTGCCTCAACAACTTGTCTTGCCAATTCTTTCTTACCAGAATCGTTAAGGTTTCTGTGAGAAAATCTTCAACTAAAACAAGTAGTAGTATTTTTTACTCTCCTCTCTTTCTCCCTTCCTCTCTCTTTCTCCCCTCCTCTCTCTCTCCCTCTGTCTCCTGCTCTCTCTTTGTCTCTCTATATTTTTCTCTCTTTTCTTTCTCTCTCTCTTTTTTTCTTTCTCTCTCTCTCTCTCTCTCTCTCTCTCTCTCTCTCTCTCTCTCTCTCTCTCTCTCTCTCTCTCTCTCTCTCTCTCTCTCTCTCTCTCTCTCTCTCTCTCTCTCTCTCTCTCCCTCCTGCCTCTCGGTAGCCAGAGAATCTGTTGTATTACAGTATGGACGAGGACTCTAAGATAATGATCAGTGACTTTGGCCTGTCTAAGATCGAGGACACGGGCAGTGTCATGTCTACAGCCTGTGGGACCCCAGGATACGTGGGTAAGGTGTGTGTGTGTGTGTCTGTGGATGTGTGTTCGTGATCTCTCCCACTACCCCCTCACTCTCTCCCTGATCCATTTACAACCTCCTCTGAAGCATGCTATTATATTGGAGTGCTATTGTGTCAACTGTTAGTGCTTCAAAAGCACACACTCTCTCAATTCAATTCAAAGGGGAAACATATGTTTACATTGCCAAAGCAAGTGACATCTCTTTCTCTCTCTTTCTCCCTTTCTTTCTCCCTCGCTCTCTCCCTTTCTCGCTCCCTTTCTATCTCCCTTCTCTCTCTCTCTCTCTCTCTCTCTCTCTCTCTCTCTCTCTCTCTCTCTCTCTCTCTCTCTCTCTGTTTGATGTTGCCCACTAGAGCTCTGATTGAGAGGGTAAAAAATAACTTCAATGGGCTCTGTCTAAGTCACTCTCTCTCCCTCTATCTGTCTCCCTCACCCCCTCTGTCTTTCTCAGTGCTCCTCTCCCTCTCTCCATCTGTCTTTCTCAGTCTCACTCTCTCACTCTCTCACTCTCTCCATCTTCTGACTTCGCTGTTTCATGTTATTGGCAGCTCCTGAGGTGTTGGCTCAGAAACCGTACAGCAAAGCAGTAGACTGCTGGTCCATCGGAGTCATCTCCTATATTCTGTAAGTCATCTGCTTAGTACGCTAACACAAATACCGTCCCTCAGACTCTGTATACTGGTGCCTGTGCATTTAAACATCTGTTGTATTCATGGGTTGCACCTCAGTCACTCTGTCGCGTCGCGGCAGGTAGCTTAGTGGTTAAGAGCGTTGTGCCAGTAACCGAAAGGTCGCTGGTTCTAATCCCCGAGCCGACTAGGTGAAAAATCTGTGGATGTGCCCTTGAGCAAGGCACTTAACCCTAATTGCTCCTGTAAGTCGCTCTGGATAAGAGCGTCTGCTAAATGACTAAAATGTAAATGTAAAATGTTATGAATGTTCTACATAACGCCGCAGCCATGATAATAATAATAATAATAATATGCCATTTAGCAGACGCTTTTATCCAAAGCGACTGATGATTGATGCCTAGTCATTCTGAGCGGGGGCTGATGACTTGGAAATACGATGACAGTGCTAAAGAAGGCAAATCATTTGTAGATAACAACTTTGCCATCATTATGATGTCGTCAAATTTACTTTAGAGAGAGGGCAATGTTGCCATTAGCTACCAAAGTTCGTCAAAAATAGCTAGCAATGCTAACATTAGCTAGCAAAATTTCAGTGCTGCTCAAACTAGCTAGCTAAATACTGCATCTAAAGTCAATCTGGTGACATCGCAATGATGACAAAAGATTTTCCAACAAATTATTTGCCTCCTTTTAAAATTATATTGTGTTTCCAAGCCACTGTAATGCACTTTTGATGAAATCTTAATTAGCGGCAATTGACAATGCATTGAGTAGAACATTAATTTGCACATCAGTCTTCAAGAAAACGTTCAAAACAATACTGTGATGAAACGTGCAAGCCATGAATAGTGCACTCGATAGAGCAGCTCATTCCAAATGTTCTAAAATTCTAAAATGGCTCTGTGCATGACCTTCACACCCCCACATTTATGTCTGAGAAAGTACGGTCCATCTGTGGCTGGGACTCTTGGCACTTAATAGCATAATAGGGATATTATATACTTACAACCAAATTTCAATTGGATATTTTATTATCTGGGTTCAATGTATAGAGCAATAAGTGTTCCCTCATGTCATATGAACTTTTTCAGGTTATGCGGATACCCTCCGTTTTATGACGAGAACGATGCTAAGCTTTTTGAGCAGATACTGAAGGCAGAGTATGAGTTTGACTCTCCGTACTGGGATGACATCTCCGATTCAGGTAGCTTATACCGCCTTTTTTCTTTCTTTATTTTTACAAATAATAATGATCGGGACAAACAGAAAAAAGACAAAGAGGATCACATAAACAAAACACAATACAAACTGAATCAAATTCAAATAGCATGAATCCTTTTCAATGATCTGTAATTGTTTCAATGACATACAGTGCCTTGCAAATTATTCATCCCCCTTGGCATTTTTCCTATTTTCTTGTATTACAACCTCTAATTTAGATTTGATTTTTATTTGGATTTCATGTAATGGACATACACAAAATAGTCCAAATTGGTGAAGTGAAATGAAATTCTAAAAAACAAATAACGGAAAAGTGGTGTATGTATTCACCCCCTTTGCTATGAAGGCCCTATTCTTGAGGGAAACCTGTTTCAGTTTTCCAGAGATATGAGACTGGGACGGAGGTTCACCTTCCAGCAGGACAATGACCCTAAGCATACTGCTAAAGCAACACTCGAGTGGTTTAAGGGGAAACATTTAAATGTCTGTCTTGGAATGGCCTAGTCAAAGCCCAGACCTCAATCCAATTGAGAATCTGTGGTATGACTTAAAGATTGCTGCACACCAGCGGAACCCATCCATCTTGAAGGAGCTGGAGCAGTTGTGCCAAGCTTATAGAGACATACCCCAAGAGACTTCAGCTGTAATTGCTGCAAAAGGTGGCTCTAGAAAGTATTGACTTTGGGTGGGGTGAATAGTTATCCACGCTCAAGTTTTCAGTTTATTTGTCTTATTTCTTGTTTGTATCACAAGAAAAAATATTTTGCATCTTCAAAGTGGTAGGCATGTTGTTTAAATCAAATGAAACAAACCCCCCAAAATTCCATTTTAATTCCAGGTTGTAAGGCAACAAAATAGGAAAAATGCGAAGGCGGGGGGTGAATACTTTCGCAAGCCACTGTAAATTACATTTGACTGTGAATGAATACCATGACTACTTTGTGTGGATTTGTAAGTCATTGATTATACTGTATTATCTCTGGAGATAGTGTAAATTCGTAAGGAATCAACATTGTTCAGTAATGATTTGAAAGTGTTGTTTTTTTCATTCCAGCTAAAGACTTTATCTGTCACCTGATGGAGAAAGACTTCATGAAGAGATATACCGCTGATCAAGCACTTCAACACCCCTGGTAATACAAGCTTTCCCTAACCCTAACTCTAGCTACATGTCCACATCCCGGTTCAACCCTAACCCCAGCCTCAACCTTAACCTTAACCCTAAACCTAAACCTAGCCTTAACCACAAACCTAAGCTTAGCTTAATCTCCTCATCCCGATACAACCTTAACGCTACACTCTTAGAAAAAAAGGTGCTATCTAGAACCTTAAAGGGTTCTTCGGTTGTCCCCATAGGAGAACCCTTTAAATAACCCTTTTTGGTTCCAGGTAGAACCCTTTTGGGTTCCATGTAGAACCCTTTCCACAGAGGGTTTTTCATGGAACCCAAAAGGGTTCTACTTGGAACTCGAAAGGGGTCTACCTGGAACCAAAAACGATTATCCTATGTGGACAGCCAAATAACTATTTTGGAACCCTTCTTTCTGAGAGTGTAGTCTCAACCACAACTCTAACCCTAACCATAGCTTAATGTCAACATCAAGGTTAAACCCTAACCCTCAACCACAACCCTAACTTCATGTCAACATCAAGGTTCAACCCTAACCTTAGCCTCAACCACAGCAACAACAACCACAACCCTAACCCTAGCTTCATGTCCACATCCTGGTTCCCCAAGCCATTCAATGCATTCTTGCGTAACATTTAGGCTGGTTAAACCAGGCGAGGATATCTACGTCCCATAACTCAAACTTTAAACTTCTGACAGCTTGCCCCCTCTTTGCTGTCTCTCTCTAAACTCTCTCTTTTCCGGTTTGCAGGATCTGTGGAGACACAGCTCTTGATAAGAACATCCATGAGTCTGTCAGTGCTCAGATCAAGAAGAACTTTGCTAAAAGTAAATGGAAGGTCAGTGGCTCAATATTACTGCTTTGATAACTCTCATTTTATTTCTATTTTTGTTCTTCTATCTGTCTCTCTGTCTCATTTACACTACATGACCAAAAGTATGTGGACACCTGCTCATCGAACATCTCATTCCAAAATCATGGGCATTAGTAGGAGTTGGTCCCCCCTTTGCTGCTACAACAGCCTCCACTCTTCTGGGATGGCTTTCCACTAGATGTTGGAACATTGCTGCGGGGACTTGCTTCCATTAAGCCACAATAGCATTAGTGAGGTCGGGTACTGATGTTGGGTGATTAGTCCTGGCTCGCAGTCGGCGTTCCAATTCATCCCAAAGATATTCGATGGGGTTGAGGTCAGGGCTCTGTGCAGGCCAGTCAAGTTTTTCCACACCGATCTCGACAAACCATTTCTGTATGGACTTCGCTTTGTGCACGGGGCAATGTCATGCTGAAACAGGAAAGGGCCTTCCCCAAACTTGCCACAAAGTTGGAAGCACAGAATGTCATTGTATGCTGTAGCGTTAAGATTTCCCTTCACTGGAACTAAGGGTCCTAGCCTGAACCATGTAAAGCAGCCCCAGATCATTATTCCTCCTCCACCAAACCTTACAGTTAGCACTTTGCATTGGGGCAGGTAGTGTTCTACTGGCATCCGCCAAACCGAGATTCGTCTGTCGGACTGCCAGATGGTGAAGTGCAATTCATCACTCCAGAGAACGCATTTCCACTGCTCCAGAGTCCAATGGCGGTGAGTTTTACACCACTCCAGCCGACGCTTGGCATTGCGCATAGTGATCTTAGGCTTGTGCGCGGTTGCTCGGCCATGGAAACCCATTTCATGAAGCTCCCGACGAATAGTTATTGTGCTGACGTTGCTTTCAGAGGCAGTTTGGAACTCGGTAGTGAGTGTTGCAACCAAGGACAGATGATTTTTAAGCGTTTCAGCACTCGGCGGTCCCGTTCTGTGAGCTTGTGTTGCCTACCACTTTGCGGCTGAGAAGTTGTTGCTCCTAGATGTTTCCACTTCACAATAACATCACTTACAGTTGACTGGGGCAGTTCTAGCAGGGCAGAAATTTGATGAACTGACTTGTTGGAAGTGCCACGTTGAAAGTCACTGAGCTCTTCAGTAAGGCCATTCTACTGCCAAAGTTTGTCTATGGAGATTGCATGACAGTGTGCTCGATTTTATACACCTGTCAGCAACGGGCGTGGCTGTAGTAGCCGAATCCACTCATTTGAAGGTGTGTCCACTTACTTTTGTATATGTAGTATATATGGTTCCTCTGTTTTTTATAGTGGTTGTATAAATCACTGTGCATTTATCACCTTCCCTTCCCTTTTCTCTTTCTCTATTTCTCTCTCTCTCTCTCTCTCTCTCTCTCTCTCTCTCTCTCCTCTCTCTCTCTCTCTCCCCCCCGTCTTCTCTCTCTCACCCCCCCTTCTTCCCCCTCTCTCAACCACCTCCCCCTGTCTCTCTCTCCCCCATTATTCTCTCTCTCTCTCCCCCTCTCTCTCCCTCTCCCCATCCCCCCTCTATCTCTCTGTCCCTCCTATCACTATCCCTACACAGCAAGCATTCAATGCCACAGCAGTGGTGAGACACATGCGGAGGCTGCAGCTGGGTACCAGCCTAGAGAGCCCCAGCCAGATCACCCCCACAAGCCCCTGTCATGCCCACACACTCCTGTTGCGGGAGGAGGATGAGGACGAGGAGGAGGAGGGACTGGGGGTAGAGGAGGAGTGCTGTAAGTGAGACAATACTGAGCCTGTACCCCACTCAGCCAGCCACCTCTCTCTCACTCTCACTCTCACTCTCACTCTCACTCTCACTCTCACTCAGACTCTCAATCTGTTTATCTCTCTGAGCACGTAGCCTACAGTACTGTGGAGCCTCTGAGCACGTACAGTGGTGTGTACAGTACTGTAGTGATACTCTAGTAGTACAGCACTGTGGAGTACTGTCCCTGTCATCTCCTCTGCTCTCCTCTCCAGTGTCATACTGTGAGGATGGGCAGCGGCGCGGTAGTGCAGAGGGCAGTGCCGACCGGGACAGTCTGACGAGTTGCACCTACTGCTGCAGGCCAGCCAGTCGCATCTAAGTGGCCACAGACCCTGCCCCTTTGTCGCCATGGGGATATGTATGTTTCCATGGAGCCACCCAGTGCCCGCCCTGTCCGCCTAGTTTGGCCATGAATGCAGAGTGATGTTATGACAGGCTGTGTCCAGGAGAGTAGGATGGTGATGAGTCAGCCAGCAGCCATGTCCAGAGCCACCTTCTAGCTCCAATGCTTGCCCAGAATAAACCATCTACAGTTCCTTTTAGAGGGGAGTTTTGGATGCAGGGATTACTTTGTTAAATTCAGGTGTCCACAAACACTGATATTTGTGCAGAGTGTGCGGTAACACTTTACTTGACACCCAGCATCATAACACGTTATGACCGGTCATAACCATGTCATAATATGTCATAACAGCTGACATAGCTTGTCATAACCTGTCATAATATGGTCATAACACTGTAATGACCAATATATTTATGTCTGTTGTGACATATATGGCATTATTTTATAGCTGGTTATGACACCTACATAAGAGTGTCGAACCCCACATTTATTCAAATGTTTTTTTCCCTGCCAAGAAGTTTCCTTTCGTTTGAAAGTTTGTTTCTTAAGTCCTTTGTTGTTGTTGTAATGAATTCTTTACAGTCATGTTTTTTTTCATCATATTTTAAATAACTTGCAGACACTGTCAAGAAGCATTATGACCATCATAATCTTATAAGCCAGATAGGCCTATCACGTACATGCCCATGTATCAGTCATCAGTCAAAAACAGGGTGCCTTGTCCTGCTCCTGAAATCTGCTCCTGCATTCATCCCAGTCATCAGCAACAGAGCATTGACCTATGTGCATGTCTGACATCAATTTGTGCGCAATTACTGTACAATGTTCATTTAATATGGTCGATTTCAGAAAATGTTATATAACATAAACATACTGTTGAGAAGTAGGCTATGGTGTAATGGATTGTTTTGCCTTGTGTGGTAGGTTTTGTGGGTTTTTACATTTTTATGTAGGTGTCATAACCAGCCATAACAGGTCTAAATATGTGTCATGACAATGTTATGACCATATTATAAAAGGTTATGACAAGTTATGTCAGCTGTTATGACATATTATGACATGGTTATGACCATGTCATAACGTGTTATGACGCTGGATGTCAAGTAAAGTGTTACAGAGTTTACACATACCTAAAACTGTTGTCATATAAGTATGGTCTTTGACATCAGGCTTCACAATTGATGGAGAGTTCCTTCACTTTAAAAATCAACATATAAGTGCTTTTAGTACCAGTTAATCAACTGTAATGTTTTTTTTATTTTTATGTTTTGTCCCATTTGGCTCATTATCTTACCTGTGTTTGTTTTGGTTTTGAAGTTTACAGCCCCATCAGAAACACTTTCTGGGCTCTGGATTGACTCTGTATTCTGGCTCAGACTTGGCTCGTAAAAGCTTTTCTGGTTCGAGGCACCTGCATGCGTCGGTTGAATGATAAAATGTGAAATGTATGGCTAATAAAGGGATACTTTTTTATTTTATGGCTGTTCTGTTACCAGAAGTTCACACTGAGATCCCTATGGCAACACACAGACCGTATAGCCTATCAGATTAATCCTATACACCTTCTCAGCCAATGAGCATTTCCATAGTAGCCACACCACTTAACATGAGAGTTGGGGTACCACAGGGTTCGATGTTGAGACCATTTCAGTTATAAATAGTTTGCAATTATTTCACGTTCTAGGGAATCAAATCAGTTGTATGCATGACATTTCTATCTGCAAAGGTCCCTAAATGTTATGTCCATTTAAACAATATTACACCCCTGTCCTCCGTGGTGGTCGGAGGGATCTCAGTGTTTGTTCTCTGGCTGCTCTGTACTTTGCACCTATCTCTCGTGGAAGAAGTATCGGTCTACCGTCTGCATGACCTGGTTATAATATGTTTACGCGGTTGATGATCAACATAGAAATATAAAAAAATATGTATATGGTTATTATTACTACTCTGTTGTCCTGATAAACATTTCTTTCTGTAATTCTGAAAACTATATAATGTGAAGTGAGAAGTTGTTGACAACGTACATATGTGTAGCACGGTCTGAACTGTAACGTTACCTTAACCTCTGCATTGACTATTTGATGGTCATCTCTACCCAGTGGCACACTGACGCCGTCTCCCTGGTAACCATGTTGATTTAGTTTAGATTACAACTCTAGGATGTACAATAAGTTGTTGTGGGAGTCTGTTTATTTGTTGTTTTGTTCACTTAAAGTTTTGTAGTCTGTCTCAACCTACTAAATAGAAATAGTCCCTGACCCTGACCCCTCCCTTTCCCTGGTACTGTGTAACAGTTCTGATTGTAACATTCAACATGTTGAGTGACAAAGACAGACCTGAGTTCAAATACTATTTGAAATCTTTCAAATACTTTGAGCGTTTGCTTAGGAGTGGAAAGATAAAGCCAGTTCTCTAACTACGATGACAAGACAGAGTGCAGTCTGATAAAAAATCTCAAGGTACAGTGTTACCTGCTATGATTACAGTTTAAACACATCAATAAGGCTGAAAATGACAAGCCAAATGGGTAGGCCTATAATTATAATTAAAGATTTAGGGCTGTATTCAATCTGTAACACTGAAGTTCAGCATTATAGCGTGATTGAAATTTAAAGGCAATGTTCCCGCGTTAGCAGAGACTGCATTCACGGTAAACACTGTATATGTCGACTCAATCGGAAATTACCTTTATATTTCTATTTCGCAATCGAAACCGCTTCAGCGATACAGATGGAATAGAGCCCTTACTCTGTTTGGTTCACGCTGCGCTGCATTTTCACTGCTGTTCGGATTGGATACCAAATACTTATTGTTAAGTTCAATCAGAGGTACTAGCTAAAGCCTTCTAGTTGAGCTCTACCTTGTTTAGGCCAATGACCTGTGTTTGGTCCATAGCAGTGACTTCATAAGGTTATAATTGCTCAAAAGCAATCATTCTGGCTTCACAAGACAGTGACTGACTGCAGAATGGAAAATATGCAAACTCTGTGTGAATGGCTTCATGTTATATGTTAGGTATAATTGCTGTTGATGACTTTGTTGATCACCTGATAACCTGTGTTCATTTGTTTGGTAAAGACTGTTGAACCTTTCCTTGGTTCCTATTTGTTTTTTAAGAAACAGATTGATTTGACTCATGACAAACACATATTTAAATGGGAAAGAAACGTGTATGAAAAAATAATACTCAAAATGTTTATATTATAAGTATATATATATATATATTGTATATCCTTTTTTGTAAAAGCTGTTTTGAGCTAATAATGTATGGATGCAATGCATCATGACTTATTGATCAACACGTAAGGAAGGAGACAATGATTTGTACCTTCAGATATATGATCGCAGGAAATTAAATAAAACTTCCTTGTCTATGCATTGTGTGTTCTGTCATATTACTGTCATTTCTTTTATTTAGTTAGGGCCACATTCATTAGGCACCAAACAGAAGAAAACAGACTCAAACAGGGAGGGATTTTAAGAAAACATTCATTTTCTGTTTCGAAACATTTCAAAATGTTTTGCTACGGTGTGCCCTACTGAACACGACTCAGTACATGGCATTACAGTGAGTGTCATAGTATGTTATAATAATACCATTGCTTATACATGTAGCTGCCATCTGGTGGGGGCAGTATAAACCCGAACGTGGCTGATAGAGGTTGTTTGGTACAACAGACATAGGATGCTGTCTGTTACATTTTCAATGAATACATTTTTTTTTTTATACTGGCCCCCCGTGGGAATCGAACCCACAACCCTGGCGTTGCAAACGCCATGCTCCATCAACTGAGCTACATCCCTGCCGGCCATTCCCTCCCCTACCCTGGACGACGCTGGGCCAATTGTGCGCCGCCCATGAGTCTCCCGGTCGCGGCCGGCTGCGACAGAGCCTGGATTCGAACCAGGATCTCTAGTGGCACAATTGGAGCGGGAAACTGAAGAGGGAGGGATTTTAAAGCTAGGGTGTGTGGAGGGCACGATATAAGATGGAGAGAGGGCGGGGGAGGCTAGGCTACTCTGCAGACCAGCTTCCTTTTATTGAAATTCAATAAAGTAAATCTTCATTCAACAAAAACTCTGTAAGAACTTTGATTGTTAATAAAGTATAGTGATGAATTTCCACAACACTACCATGCATATGCTTTACATAGACCACTGCGCCACTCAGGAGTAGTCACTAGTATCACAAGGTGAATGATGTATATTATATTTGTTTGGTAAAGACATTTTTTCGTTGAACCGTTCCTTGGTTTTGTTCCCACTTGTGGGAATTGGCCTACATGGATAGGGCTAAATGGAAATGTTTCTTATAGAAGAAATATGTAAAGCATATGCATGGTAGTGTTGTGGAAATTAATCACTATACTTTATTAACAATCAAAGTTCTTACAGAGTTTTTGTTGAATGAAGATTTACTTTATTGTATTTCAATAAAAGGAAGCTGGTCTGCAGAGTAGCCTAGCCTCCCCTGCCCTCTCTCCATCTTATATCGTGCCCTCCACACACCCTAGCTTTAAAATCCCTCCCTCTTCAGTTTCCCGCTCTTTTATTGCTCCGTCCCACTCCCTTTGTCTATGGTGGCGGCTAAATTAGACTTTCATTCAGTTCAGAATCAATAGTAATACCCTCAATCAATCCCTTATCTTGCAAAAACACTCATGTTTAGTTTAAACTCTGTTCAACCCTGGCGCCGCTCTTCATCACTGTTTGAGGAGAGAGACAAAAGGCCACAGGATTAAGTTCTTGCCTAGCCACAGAGAATGTTAATAGTCCACTAAAAAATCTTCAACAGTAGCAATTGAAGATGATGGGACAATTATTAGACCAAAGTTGAGGACACAACAGTTCACCTGACACAAGACTGAGTCCAAACATTACGCTGTTGATTTATTTGCATTTACATTTACTGTACTTTTCACCGTGTTTGTTGATAACAAAATATGATGGAAACACTTCTCTGATTGGAAAATATGCTGATTTTAGAATATTTGTATGAAAATCTGTCCCCAATTGGATGGAATATAAAACTTATTAACCTCATTTTTTTCTTCTCTCTCTTGGCTGTACCATTGATGAACTAGAGCAAGCACACTTGTAGTTGTTTTGTTTGGAACACAACCCTGCATCCACACCATCACACACTTGTTCTATTGCCAACATGACTAGCTAAGTTATAAAATACGATCTTAAGTGTTAGGCTTTCACGGGACAGTTCAGAGAAAGAGATCGTAATGTTGGCGCTCATAGAAAGGAGTCATGCGTGCATTCAGGTGCGTCTTCCGTGGTGAATTTTCTTCACAATTGACAAACATAGGCTCATTCTGTTCAGAACAACCCAGGGTATGATGCCATGTCATCTTGTAACTGTACATCAAACATAGTGATCATAAACATTGACACTGTATTGACATGAGTTTTATGGTATGGAAATGTGAAGTGCACATTTGGACTCATGGGTGTTTGGGTTGCTTGTATGACATCAAAGTGGTATGTATTATAATCCTCAACATCTCATCTTTCAGAACACATAGAGTCCTCTTAATTTACAGCATTTTTGTCGCGTGCGGTACTCATGTTCAAAACGGCTGTCAGTTAAAACACACACAGCGCTGTGAAGCACAGAGACAGAGCTCTGATGTCATTTATAGCATGTTACTGTACAGCCACTGCGTTCCAATTTAGGCGCTTATCAGTGCCCAAATCTGCCATTTTCAACCTGTGTATGAGTACGAGTGTAAAGGGCAACAGGGGGTGCTCTCTCTATCTGTGTCAGAGGTGGTTGGCATGAGAGACAAATAACTAATGGAACATCAAGCCTCTCAGAGGATGGGAGGGCCCAGCCACGTCCCAGATCTGTTTGTGATGTATAGCCAGATCCTATGGTCGTTGTCATGCAAAACATGTTCATATGGGGTTGGCAAGACAACACAAGCAGATCTAGGACCAGGCTAGTGGGGACTCAATCCCTATTTGGATCAAGTAAAGATGTTCTTCAAAGGCTAAATTGACACAGGGTGGTTAACTTCAGGCAGTGAGCTCTTTCCGAGTAGATGTGGTCGAGGACATGTTCAGGTACCAATTTGCACCATGCATGCATCCATCATTCACCACCACCTCCCTCCGCTGATCTCACCTTCAGTCTCTTGACCATCGATCTACTCATGATGATTAATTATGTTTTTAAATATCTTGTTTTTTGTTGTTGTTGCTTTACAGCGCTTTGAGATTTCTTTATGTAATGAATAGCGCTATAAAGGTTGAATAAATTCTACATTATTATTATTATCTGTACTCCCATGCAGGTGAACCATGCCAAGCATACTATCCCACCAACATGATCTGTCAACACGATCCAACAGCTTAATGTCACCCAGTCAGAGGGAAAATCTCAATAGCATACTACTAGCGTCCACTCTCCTCTCCCCTTCTCAAAACCCATTGGAGAAGGTCAGAGGGGAGGGACCTCCGGCTTTCTCCTCCAATGGGTTTTGAGAAATGGGCGAGGAGAGAGGACACGAGGAGTATGCAATTGAGATTCTCCCAGGATACTGTCTTCCTTCACTACTACAACTCCATGTAGTCACGTATCCCCACCATCCTATCTACAGTTCATGGAGATGCTCTAACAACACCATGCCACTCTAACCATACTTTACACAGCTTCCTGTCAGTCAGTCCTTTTAAACTGCCTTCCCCACATCCAGTATGGTGGTGCATCGCAGGCTCTCTTTAACTCTGATGAACTCTGGGGAACTCTGCAGGCCCTGCTGTTGTGCCTTTAGCTCTCTCTCCAGCTGCAGGGAAGAGTCAGTCACTGACAGTCAGTGAATACAAGAGCAGATTGGAATTAATACAGTGTGTATGTACAAAGCTGCAACCCAATGGTATACAACAGGGGTGTCCAACTCATTCCATGGAGGGCCTAGTGTCAGCTGGTTTTAGACTACCAGGTGAGGGGAGTTACGAACTAATTAGTGACCTTAATCAATCAAGTAGAAGAGAGGAGTGAAAACCTACAGACACTTGGCCCTCCGTGGAATGAGTTTGACACATGTGGTATACAGTATGTAGTATGTACAGGTTGCAGGAGCTGAATAAGTAATGTCTGCTTTGACTAATGAGCATTGTATGTAAATGAACTAGTAATGCATGAGTGAAGCTGTGTGCAATGCAAATCATGTGATGGAGAGCAAAGTGTGCTTGGCTTACGCCAATGGCAGTCATGTGACCATGATGTTGACATGGAGTATACCAACCTCCTCCAGCCTCTGATGCCTCTTGAGCAGTTCCTGTTGGAAAGGAGACCTGTTCTTCTTCTCCTCTTCTGCCTCTCTTCTCTGTTTCACCCCCTGTTCCCAGTTCCTCTGTTCCAGAACATGCTGGAGCTCTGGCTTCCCCTCCAGACATGGACCTCTGACAGAGAAAAATTAGGACAGTTGATGTGTGTGTGTGTGCGTACATGCGCGAGTTTGTGTGTATGTGCAGCATGCCTGTGTGTGCTACCCTGTGCAAGCCCCACCTCTTGTGTGTCATCCTTAGTTCCCTGTGGAGCTCCTGGTGGCTCTTGGAGACTCTGACCGGGTTGAGTAGCTTCTTGGGCTGGATGATCAGATCACTGCCCTCCTCCTCCTGACCCTCTGGCTGAGGTGGTGGTCCACCTGCCTTCCCGTGCTCTGGGTCCTCCTGGTCCTCTGCACCTTGACCCTGACCCTGTTCTCCATCTCGGTCCGACAGCAGGCCAGCGTGGGCTGAGGCTGGTGGACAGAGACAAAGCCAACAATTTTTTTTGCATAGGCTCATGTCCTTGTTTTTAAATAAAACCATATCCCCCAATGTAATTCTTGAAAAATAGATTTTAGAATTGATAGAATTGTACCAACTTGGTCAAATAAAGAAGTATGAGTTAGGACAGGTTAGAACAGGTGAACTAAAGATATGAATCTCAGACTTTTTGATTAGTAACCATTATTTGATTGGTAATATAGCTAAGGTGGTTGCCTCTCAACTGTTGTTTATGTCATGAAACGACAAGCACACAGTTTTACTGGGCCCTATAAACATGTCCATAAGCCTCATATTAGACAGGAGCAGAAATGATAGGGGTTACATCACTTAACACTACATGTTACATAACTAAAATCATGTCCCTTTTCCGTTGGCCAGACACACTCCAGTTGCATCTTATTTTATTTCCCTTGGCATGGGCACAGTGGGACATAGTAGCCTAGCCCCAGATCTGTTTGTGCTGTCTTGCCAACTCCTGTGGTGATTAACATGTAGATCTGGGATCAGGCGAGGGCATTAGCTACAGTATCTCCATACCTGAACTACATAGAAAAACAAGTGTCCTATTGCACCAGCTCAGCACGCATATTTCTGTGGTTATATACTTCACTATCAAACTCCAAGGACCACATTTACAAGTGTTTGGATTTTTGCATAGTTTGTACCTGTGGGAATCCCCCAGAGGGAATAAAACATGATCATCAACATACCCATCTCCCCAACATCGAGTCAGTCATTTTTGTTCAACCTGCCTTTTTCACTAAACTCATAAACCCAACACATGATGCCTTGTTAACACCAATCATCAATCATGTCCTATTAACATTCTGCACTTCTCTCACTGTGAAAGTAGTATCTGTAGGTCCCTTACCTGACTTAGCCAGAACCTCTCTCTGCCTCCCTGGTGTCCTGTTTGTGATGACACTGCTAGTATCCATCTATTCTATGAAGCCCAGGGCCAGGCTAGTGGTAAGTTAGTTACTGCTGTAGACTAGCTACCACAGCTGTCACTGGCACTATGAATCCAGAGGTCTGGTCAGAGCTGGGCAGGGCTGGGGCTGGGGCTGGGAGTCTACCTCTACAGCCACTCCCTGTTCCACTACCCTACACCTTTGTCTCCATCCCACCTCAGCCCCGCCTACAGCCCTGGCCACACCTCTAGCCGCCAGTCAGTCACATGACCACTCAGGTCGTCCTGTAGCCTCGCTATCCATCCATTGTCTCCCCTCCTCCCCTCTCTCCCTCTACCTCTCCCCTTTCTCCCTTCCCTCCCCTTTGCTTTGTGACTCTCTTTCTCCCCTCCTCTTTCTCTCTCCACCATACTCCCTCCAGTGTCCCTCCATCTCCCTCTCCCCTCTCCCTCCACTCTGCTCTGTGCCTCACCCTCTAGGCTAGGTTGGATTATCCAGGGGCTCAAGCCCCGCCCTGTTTAAATCTCCTCACGGGAAACTAATTGCCAGACCTATTTACATAATCACACCCACCACAATATTGTTGGGGATTTAAAGTATCACAAAGCACCTCCACACGCCTCATGATAGATACACACTACAGGCTGCTGTGCCGGCCACAGATTAACTTTGCAGCTGTTTCTGATTAATAAACAATGCCATGCTGATGGGTGGTAACATTAAATTACAACCCATCTCGGAAACGTAACGTAGGCTAGAAATAATTTGTATGTTATATCATATTAAAAGAAACCACATTCACACGGATTTGCACAAAGTGGGCAGTTCGGATTTGTCACTTCAAGACCAAAAAGATCATACTTTGACTAAATCATTGTGCAACATCATGGGTAAGCTCTGGCCATCATCTTTCAGATCAAAAACGTGGATTTCTACTACTGTGGGCATTTAAGTCTAGTCCTGGACTAGGAAGGACTTTCAATGGAGATTCTCCATTGAGCACGCGCTTCAGTCCAGGATTGGGCTTAATCTTTGTCTGGGAAAACTGCCCCACGTGTTCATTATACAATGACAATACAGGTACATGTTAATTGATCTATCCTTCTTCTACTCTAATGCTAGTATCTGAATGTTATCTCACCTGTCCCATTCAGAGGTGTTCTACTTCTGGTGGGAGATGTTGGAGGTGGTCTTCACTAGGTTGACAGGTAAAACACAACCAATCACGTGAGAAACTGTCAGAGGCTTTATGTCACCGGTGTTACAATAAGACCAACGAGCACATTAGTATGTATCACAGTAATCTCGTCCCCAGCTGGCTCTCTCTCTGTCTACACTATATGCGATAGCAATTGAGCCTGGGGAAGCGGTTAGTATCACAGTAATACTACATTTTTCAAACATTTAGAATGGTCTGATTTGGAGGCCTATCATAAGGTGACCACACACTGCTTGTTTTGAATGTCTCAATGGACAATCAGGTCAACAATGGTCCATTGTTGTTTGTGTCAGACCAGACGTGAAGGGGCGGCTATAGACCCAGATGACCAGTTAACCGAGAAGAGAGGAGAGGCCCTTGTGGAAAACTGGGCTGGACTGGAGGCCTACCACCCACCACATTACTGAATAACCCAAAAACAACAGGCCTTAGTCATTGCTCAATAACTTTCATTTCACCTGTATGAGCCTTGCGTATCCCTACACCCCATTACTCATATAAACCAGGTAAATCCATGGGCATACTCATGTAAAACAGGTCTACCCCAGTGCCCAAGCCTCAACATTCATACAAAAGAGCTGTCTACTTTTGTACTTCAGCCCGAATATCCTTACAGACCAGGTCTACACCTGTACTTCAGCTCCAATTTACAGTGGCTTGCGAAAGTATTCACCCCCCTTGGCATTTTTCCTATTTTGTTGCCTTACAACCTGGAATTAAAATCGATTTTTTGGGAGGATGTATCATTTGATTTACACAACATGCCTACCACTTTGAAGATGAAAATTTTTTTTTTTGGTGAAACAAACAAGAAATAAGACAAAAAAACAGAAAACTTGAGCGTGCAAAACAATTCACCCCCCCCCCCCCCCCCCTTGGGGTATGTCTCTATAAGCTTGGCACATCTAGCCACTGGGATTTTTGCCCATTCTTCAAGGCAAAACTGCTCCAGCTCCTTCAAGTTGGATGGGTTCCGCTGGTGTACAGCAATCTTTAAGTCATACAACAGATTCTCAATTGGATTGAGGTCTGGGCTTTGACTAGGCCATTCCAAGACATTTAAATGTTTCCCCTTAAACCACTCGAGTGTTGCTTTAGCAGTACGCTTAGGGTCATTGTCCTGCTGGAAGGTGAACCTCCGTCCCAGTCTCAAATCTCTGGAAGACTAAAACAGGTTTCCCTCAAGAATTTCCCTTTATTTAGCGCCATCCATCATTCCTTCAATTCTGACCAGTTTCCCAGTCCCTGCCGATGAAAAACATCCCCACAGCATGATGCTGCCACCACCATTCTTCAGTGTGGGGATGGTGTTCTCGGGGTGATGAGAGGTGTTGGGTTTGCGCCAGACATAGCGTTTTCCTTGATGGCCAAAAAGCTCAATTTTAGTCTCGTTTGACCAGAGTACCTTCTTCCATATGTTTGGGGAGTCTCCCACATTACATTTTTTTTTAAATTTTAGTCATTCAGCAGATGCTCTTATCCAGAGCGACTTACAGTTAGTGAGTGCATACATCTTTTCATACTGGCCCCCCATGGGAATCGAACCCACAACCCTGGCATTGCAAACGCCATGCTCTACCAACTGAGCTACACAGCTACACACTGTAAACAATGGCTTTTTTCTGGACACTCTTCCGTAAAGCCCAGCTCTGTGGAGTGTACGGCTTAAAGTGGTCCTATGGACAGATACTCCAATCTCCGCTGTGGAGCTTTGCAGTTCCTTCAGGGTTATCTTTGGTCTCTTTGTTGCCTCTCTGATTAATGCCCTCCTTGACTTTTCCGTGAGTTTTGGTGGGCGCCCTCTCTTGGCAGGTTTGTTGTGGTGCCATATTCTTTCAATTTTTTAAATAATGGATTTAATGGTGCTCCATGGGATGTTTAAAGTTTCAGATATTTTTTCATAACCCTTATCTGTACTTCTCCACAACTTTGTCCCTGACCTGTTTAGAGAGCTCCTTGGTCTTCATGGTGCCACTTGCTTGGTGGTTCCCCTTGCTTAGTGGTGTTGCAGACTCTGGGGCCTTTCAGAACAGGTGTATATATACTGAGATCATGTGAGACTTAGATTGAACACAGGTGGACTTTATTTAACTAATTATGTGACTTCTGAAGGTAATTGGTTGCACCAGATCTTATTTAGGGACTTCATAGCAAAGGGGGTGAATACATATGCACGCACCACTTTTCCGTTATACATTTTTAAGCCTTTTTTTTAACAAGTTATTTTTTTCATTTCACTTCACCAATTTGGACTATTTTGTGTATGTCCATTACATGAAATCCAAATAAAAATCCATTTAAATTACAGGTTGTAATGCAACAAAATAGGAAAAATGCCAAGGGGGATGAATACTTTTGCAAGGCACTGTACCATTATCCATTAGCCTAAATGCTTCCATTCAGCCACAAGAGCATTAGTGAGGTCGGGCACTGATGTTGGGTGATTAGGCCTGGCTCGCAGAGAACACGCTTCCACTGCTCCAGAGTCCAATGGCGGCGAGCTTTACATCACTCCAGCCGACGCTTGGCATTGCGCATGGTGATCTTAGGCTTGTGTGCGGCTGCTCGGCCATGCAAACCCACTTCATGAAGCTCCTGACTAACATTTATTGCCTTAGACCACTGCGCCCGAGTGGCGCAGTGGTCTAAGGTACTGCATCGGCAGTGCTAACTGTGCCACTAGAGATCCTGGTTCGAATCCAGGCTCTGTCGCAGCCGGCCGCGACCGGGAGACTCATGGGCGGCGCACGATTGGCCCAGCGTCGTCCAGGGTAGGGGAGGGAATGGCCGGCAGGGATGTAGCTCAGTTGATAGAGCATGGCGTTTGCAACGCCAGGGTTGTGGGTTCAATTCCCACGGGGGGCCAGTATAAAAAAAAAAATGTA